GTTTGGTTGTTCAAGACATTCTTAGAAGCTATGAGAGGAAAACAATTTAAGAATATTTTCACAAATCAAAATCAAATAATGGCAAATGCTATTAAAAAAGTATTTCCTGCATCACATCAGCAATTATGTTTGTGACATCTTTCTAATAATGCCAAGAAGCATCTTGTTGGAATCTATGGGAATCTAGATTTCAATTCAAAATTGGTTAAATCTCCATTTTAGTCCCACTACTTTGGTAAAAAGCCTTTTTTAGTCATTCTACTTAAACAAAACTCTTTTTTAGTTTCTAAAGTTTGAAATTTGACCCATTTTTAGTCCATCTATTAAGTTTTGCATATATGGTATGTTAGATAACGGAAATTTCAAATTAGAGAGACCAAAAAGGGGCAAAAAAGAGGTTAAAAATAGCCCCAATTTGGTCCCTCTACTTTGGAAAAAGCCTCTTTTTGGTCCCTTTCATTTGAAATTTTCGTTATTTAATGTCAAAACTTAATGGAAATACTAAAAATGGGCTAGATTTCAAACTTTTGAGACCAAAAAGGTATATGTTAAGTAGAGGGACTAAAAAGGGCTTTTTACCAAAGTAAAGGGACTAAATTGGGGTTTTAACCTTCAAAATTTCATAAGTGTCTTAATGGCTGTCTAGATGAAATAAAATTTCAATCCGCTTAGAATGATATGATCAAAATCTTCAATCTAAAGAATAATGGGTGGCATAATAGGTATTTTATTATAACTTTATTTCTTTTTTACCAATATGCTTTATTTCTTTAAGAATACAAGTTAAAAAAAAAAAAAAAAGAACAAATAAACATGACCAACATGCTTTATTTCTTTTAATTAACTATGCTAATTTTCAAGTTTTGTTGTTTCTTTATAGGTTATATGGGCCTAGAAAAATTGTGTATTACATTGAATTTTGTTTTTTTTTTTTTTTTTTTGCTAGAATGAAATCTACTCAAAGAAATGAGAGTATGAATAGTATTTTTTCGTCAAATTTTGAGTACCTCATTGACTCTCATTCAAGTTATTGGCTATTATGAACAAAAGGTAGAAGATATGAGTCAAGGAGAATAAGATGAGATTTCCATTGCAAAAATGGTTCCTTTGTTGATTTGATTAGTCATGGAGGAATTTTGAGACATGCTACTACTAGCTACACAATAAGGGTGCTTCAAATATTCAAAGAAGAGTTTTCCAAGGGTTTAGGCCTAAATTGTGTTGAGGTAGAAAAGGATGAGATAAGACTTTTCTATAAACTTGACA